ACCATTGATTCCTTAGCCCAAATCCGAGTGACAGCATAATCCTGATTTAAAGACGAGTGAATTCAGAATTCACGATGCAGCTAATCTATGAAAATTATCCCTTATTAAATTTTGGTAGAAAAACAAAGAATACTCATAATTATTTGAAAGTACTACTAAATGACATCTCTGGAAAAGCTAGGATTTCTTCAAAATTCAACCACATGCATGAACTTGCGTAAGCTGAGGGCAGATGCCTTCTAGTTCAGTCATTAATTTCCATAAAAGACAAGAAATCAACTTTTGCTACATTATGTTTTATGAGTGTGATGGTCAATCTCAATTGTCAACTTGATGAGATCTAGTTGTAAAACAGGCCATTGGGCAGGCCAGTGGGAAGACTTGTTCACCATGAACAGCAACATTCCCTGGGTCCAGACCCTGGACTGGATAATAAGTAGACAGTGAGTTGAGTACAAGCCTAGCCACTATTGCTCTCTGCTTCTTGACAGTGGATGCAAAGTGACCATTTGCATCAAACTCCTGATGCTGTGACTTCCTCACCAAGGAAGACTGCTCCCTTTAACCCTGAGGCAAAATAAATCGTTTTTTTGATGGCATCATACTGAAGTTATCTAGGGTTGCAGAATGGCATTTTCTTTTCCTGATGATTTAAAGAATTAAAAGGATGGGGAAAAACAACATCTCGGATTCAGCCAGGCTTTCCTGGAAGCAGAAGCATGTGCGTGCGTGCTATATAACGCACAAAGAGACAGACTGCTCAGATGGGAGAGAGACCCAGAGCTGGAATCTGAGTCTAGAAAAATCAGAACTTTTACATGTTTGGGCTTTGTATGGGTTCCCTTTCTTCCCCAGAACTGGCTGGTTTGGGTTATTGTGTGCAACTGTATAATCCACATGGAGAAAGGGAACCCAGTTGGCTTCTGCCACAAGAGCATCCATGGCAGGAGGATGAGGTAGAAAGCCCTACCAAACATTGTCCTCCAGTGATGGGAGGGAGAGCTTACCAAATTTTATCTTGCTTGGGGAAAATAATCAGAAAGTCAGTCATTTTACATGTTTAAGTGAAAAGGTGACCAATCTACCCAGAGCCTATTTTGCTGTCTGTCTAACCTCCCAGTCCCCAGCTCTGTCCCCTAACTTGTTTTTGTCAACGTATTTGATCACAGAAATGGAAAATAAAACTAAGACTATGAGTCATATTGCTTTCCCTTCAAAACATTATTTATGGACTTGCAGGACCCTCTCTGCAAGTGAAAACAATAGGGAAATAAAAGACAAACAACATTCTGAAAAAATGAACAGAAATGCTCTGAGAATGAAGAAAGGTGTGAGTGGAGACCAAAAGGGCCCAGAAAAGCAGAATAACTACTCGTGGAAAACAAGGCAGCTGTCCTAGCCATGGGAGAAATTCACAGCTCTTGAAAGCTCTAATCTAGTGCTAGGATTTGGTCTGAAACTGACTGTTCCATGGCAGGCTACTGTTGGAGAAGTGATCCATTGTACTACTTGAGACATCTCAAACCATAGACGCAGACGCATGGGGCATCTCATGAAGGGACCTACTGTTTGGGACTGAGCTTCTCTGGAAGCTCATCACATTTAAGGTCCCTTATTTTTGTCATTACTGTGACCAAATACAAGACAATAGGCAACATATAAAAGGTGAGATTTAAATTCATCATCTTTGTTTTCACTGCACACCCTCCAAGTAGCTCAGTTTCAAGCAATCGGCCTCTTGCCTGCCACAGACTTTAAATGAGAGACTGTCATGTGTTGTTTGGAGCTATTTCCTCCGGACATAGCCTCATGGCATCTTGGGCATTGCCCCAGCAGCCATAGCAATTAGATCAGAACAATACAGTGGTAGCCAGGCAGATAACAATAGTAATGGAGTGATTCACACCCCTCAGAGTGCAGAAGAAGGGAGGGTCAAATGCCACTGATGGATCTCCTCCTACCCAAGGTACACACGCTCTTAGGAAATTATAGAATAAACACAAAGTGGGAAGTTATCTGAAACTGGTAGGAATCCATGATGTGCCTTCCATTATGCCATCAACCATGGTAGGGTGGGACTTTGTAGTAATATAGTTGTTTGGGATCACCCCAGCTCCTGTACATTGTCCCTCATCCATGCTCTGTAATATAATCTAATAAACTCAATGGTCTCATGAAGGTAGACTTGCACCTTGGTGTATCGTTAGTGCCTAATTGAAGCTCAGACTACAAAGGGCACAGCAGTCAATGGTCATGTCCTCAGCAATGAAGAGCAGACCCAATATCTGAAGGTAACTGTGTATAGGTCAGGGAATGGCATCAATTCTAGGGTTATCTCTCTACTGGGTGATATCCTCCTAGCAGGACTGGGAAAGTCAAACCTTTGGTTGAGCAGAACACTCAATTTCTTCAGTTTAAGTCATATATAAAAACATTCTCAAACTGCCATTGAATTTTGGGAATGCACCAGCTCAGAACACAACTGTAAAAGCACATGACAACCAACAACCCTAAAGTTCACCAGCAGAGAGAAGGCCTTTCCCAGTTAGCACACCAGAGCCTTTCTTGGGACCTTTTATACCACTCATTAATCCTGGAGACAACACAGCTGTGGCTTCCAGGAAACAATAGACACCCTGATGTGGCCACTGTTCTCAGAAAACAGTCATTTGAATAGATCTCTGTTGTCTAAAATGCCAATTAGCGGCAAGAACAAAAAGTTAATCAACAAATTCTAGCACTTAGAGCCTGCTCCAAATTTGCCTAAATGTTGATTAACTGCTGTTAATTTCACACAGTAAAGGCCAAGCTATCATTTGTTTCCATCTCTCTCAAAAAAAAGCTTAATCCCTAATTATTTACCAAAAGCATTCATTTATAACCAAGGAATTTTTTAGCTTGGTAGATATTATCATTGTGAATATAAATGGTATATCCAAAAGGTCCAATTACAGGCCAATAGAAATCCTTATTAATTGGAAAGCTGAATCTGGTTGGATACCACAGGATTATCATTCCTGGATTAGGTAGCTGGGGAAGTTGAGTGTACCTCACACCCCCACCATGCTGTCAGATGACATCACAAACCCTGATAGCACTCCTTGAAATACACATTGGTGTTTTTTGCTTCTTGATCATTTTCCTCAAATAGAAACCATGGCAGAGCTATACCCTCTGTTCAGCTGAACTTGAATAATCAGAAAATAACTCTCCTTAAACTTTAACTCTCAGCAGAAGGAAGAAAAAAATTCAGACCAATTTAGAATTTTGTAATAGGCTAAATGTCTAGAGACTAAGAAAGTGAGGAATGGATTATAGACGAGGAAACTGCTTATATCCAGACCAAGTATGCTGGGTAAGGAGAAAGGTTTAAATACAACAAACTATGCAGCCTGCTTAGTAGTTTTCCCCTGTCTATCCCCTCCATTGTACTTTCTAGTGATGGTGAGTTTCTTTGTGTGCTGTTTCTGACATACAACTTGCACCAGGTGGAGGAAGACCATCCAGATTGGCAAGTGTACACTCCTGGGAAGCTGGCATGGCTGTCTATGCACATCGTTTCCACTTTCCCATTCTCCACCATACTTATAGCAGCAATGTAAATAGGACCATGCAAATCAGGGCAGTCCAAGTTAAAGACTCAGGTCACCAGCATGGCACCGGGCTGCACCTCTCTGGTGTCCTATTATAGCATTCCCTGTAATGGGGACTCCAAGACCATGCTAGCAAAAAATCCCATTTTCTGGTCCCTTATTACTGGCCTTCTTTCCACGGTAGCCAACATCTTTGTAGCAAATTATTTTTCTGCTGAGTTGGGTAGAACTATCTGATGTTTTCAAACAAAAATACACTGAAGAACAAGACTTGCTCTTCCACAGTAATTAAATATCGTGTTTCCTCTCAAAGGAATAAAGGATCAACTGAGAACAAGCTCACAAAACTCTGCAACTCCTGGAGAAACGGTTCAAAATGCTGAGGATGCTAGGACCCCAATATAGGATAACCTGTGCTTGCAGGTGTATAATATAGAAAGCACGCCAAGAAAACCCGTGAGTCTTCGTATTGAGAAGCAGAAAGAATGAGGTAGATAAAAGGATAGAAAGGATTTGGTGGAACAAAATGTGAAAGATGACCTCCCAAATCAAATACATGTGACTGCTGTCAGTTATCACCTGCTGTGAGCCTTTTACAAGACCAGCTAGACACAGAAAAGAACCCTGCACACTGGTGTGACATCACCACAGCCCCAACAACACATGTCTGTTACCCACCTGGCTAGCTCAAATGTTGAACACTGTTTTTTTTTTTTGTTTGTTTTTTTGGTTTTTTTTATGTGTGGGATAACATAATATCATTTTATTTAAAAATATTTGTAAGAAAGCCTTTGACTAGACAAGCAATTGTTAAAGGTGGGCGATACAATCACAATCCAGTCAGAGGTGATGCTTCAGTCTGCTGGTGCACCCACAGAATTTCAAGGAAACCCAGCTAGATCACCATCTTCCTTGTCCTTCTGAACATTGGTTTTTATTTGCAAAAGTTCTGAGTTATGTTTGGTTTGTATAGTATACCAGATTTACAGAGGACCAAAGTAATATAATACTGATGATGCTAATAATAGTAATAATAATAATATAAATACAGGGGCAACTTGCATGGCAACAAGCTAGCATTTCTCATACGGGTAAAGTTAAGTGCTTCCAAATGCTTCAACTAACTCGCATTCTGGGAACAGGAATATAAAAACCCCTAAGTGTCTGTTTACCTATTTGAAATCTGTCTAAAAACCAAAAGCTTCAACTAGCATTTATTTAGTTGACATAAAATAACTAGGTGTATGAACCACAGTTTTGCTTTGCGGAAAGATATGGAAACGTCTTGGAAAGGTTAATAATAAAAAGATGCGCGCGCAACTCGCACCAGACGCTGCCACAGACGCCATGCACTCTCAAGGTCAGGCAGGCCTGGCTTTGCGTGCGCGCGCATATTTACATGTGACCGTTGGTAACTGCGTCAGAGACTTGAGGCTAACAGACAGCCCTCCAGCCCCAGCCTTAGTTTCTCTTAACATTTATGCTCCCAACCCAGGCAGACTTGTGGCCCTGGGGCTCAGGAGGCTTGCTGCAGACCATAGCGCAACCTGCCTCAGGTATCCGGCAACCAGCACTGCACACTGTTCCCTTCCCGTAAAACAGATACTCCTACTTCATCAAAGGTCTCATCTCAGATCCTGGTACGAGATGTGACCCTTGCCGCTAGATTTAGCCGGATGTAGCCGTGGTGACCTGTTCTTCTGTTATCAGACTTTCCCCATGGATTCCTCTACAGCACTGAACCACGACTGAACCAGTTGACCAAAGTTGCCCTGTGGACTCCCAATCTCTGGTTCTGAATCCAGGATCAGCGTCACACCATACAGGGCCTCCTGGCCCTCAGGTATGTTGCTCCGCACAGTAAGATGGAGAGGGGGAAAGCCCATTGCATTCTGATCCTCCAGCCTTCAGAAAAGCCCTTTTAATTTTTGTTTGTTTGTTTGTTTGTTTGTTTTACGAGACAGGTTTTCTCTGTATTGTTTTGGAGGCTGTCGGTCCAGCCTGGCCTCGAACTCACAGAGATCCGCTTGCCTCTGCCTCTCGAGTGCTGGGATTAAAGGCGTGCACCACCACTGCCCAGCGAAAAGCCCTTTTAAGCTCACTCCCCCACCAGGAAGCCAGGCAGGCAGCTGGTGACCAGAGAGAGAGATGCCTGGCCTCCCTGACTGTCCATTTCTTTTGTGTGCAGACATGACATCAAGTCCTGACAGTGATCTCATAAGCGTCCGGGAAGACTGCTGGATTCTGGCAAGATCGTCGGGATCTGGAATGAGAGGGGTCGAAATGGACGCCCTCCCTCTCCCTCGCCCCCCAAGGCTTGCCAAGGAGAATCGTAGAAGTTTGAAAGGGCGTCCTGGGTCTTACCTGCTTTCTTCCTGGCCTCCTTACTGAATGTGGTATCGGAGGCCACCTATGGTTCTGCCTTATCAAAAAGGACCTACTACGGTGTAGTGGAAGCAGGAGCAGAAACGCTGCTCTCGAGTCGAGAGAAAGGAAAGCAGTGCCGCGGAAGGGACGGATGTGGCAAGTGCCACAAAGTCCACTCGGTTGCTTTTGTCCCATTAGAGTTCTTTGCTCCTTTCCCAACTTCTCATCTTCCTCCCTGTCCTATAGGCAGAAGGAAGCAAGAGCTCTTACCCAGAGGCAAACATGGGACTTTCCACAAAGCCTCCTGGGGCGCAGAAGAGGCCCACCAAGGAGAACAGATTATCAGGAACCCTGCAACGGTCAGGGCTGGGGGTCGGCCCACCCCTTTGCCCTAACCACCTGTGTTGAAGGTTCTACTCACAACCCTGCTGATCAAGCAATCCCAAATTGGTAAGGCCTGGATGGACCCAGCAGCGTGGCCCTGTTTCAGTTCTAGGAGCTTGCACTGTACACACTGCTGCACTCCCTCCCTCCCGGGGCTCTGCTAGCCCTACTCACAGACAGAGATGCTCAGCTCCTAGTCCCAGCCACTGAGCCCTCTAGCACTGCCCTCTGGTTTGGTAGAGAGCTCCTTTGGGAAGGCAGGTGCCCCCTTCAGGGATTAGAAATTGTCATTCCCCAGACAGGCACTTGTGCCCGGCCCCAGCTCACCAGTGCAGTCTCTCTGGAGATCTGGGGACCGCAGTTTTCCAGTGCCTTTACTCACTCCTTGAGCTCCACCTTCTCATACTTGACCTTTCAGGAAATAGCCCTGGAGCCCAAATCAGATCACAGGTCTTGATGGAAACCTGCTGTGGTCCCACATCCTTCCTGGCCCTTGTCAGATGGCTTCTGTAGCTTCTCCATGCCAAGTGTAGAACCCAGCGGCACTGTCAAACACGGTCTGCCCCACTCCTGGCCGGCCAGTATCGGATTCTCTGTTCTGACAAGAATTACCAAATGAACAATATGAGGGAGCTACTCTTCTTCAACACTAGCTACATGGGCGGGTAGAACTGCCACTTGCAGACAAGAGAGGATCATGTGTATTAAGGGGACACCAGGGACACTAGAGGGCAGGAAGCCAAAGGGAAGCGCTTCCCTTTTCTCGGCCTCAGCCGGTGTGAGGGCCCAGAGAAATCAGAGGGTGGGGACCCAAAGTATCCTGGTGTCCAATGACAAGAGGGAAGGTGAGGACAAAACACCAAGTGGCAGAAGTATGTTTAGGGTCTCTTCAGAAATTGTCAGAAAGTCTGGCCTAATGTAACCCAGTGAGTTGATGTTTATGCTCATCACTTGGGAAAACTGGAAACAACCATAAACTTTTATCTGCTCTGCTGTTCATTTGATCTGAACACGAATCTCTGATTAATGGGCTGGGGCCACATCCAGGCACATTTGGCCAACCTATATTTGAAAGCTACCTAGCTCTTTTCTCTTGGCCTTACCAAGAAATCCAGCATTAGCTTGTGGTAGCATTCCCAACCTTGCCTGCCTTCTCCTAGTACTAGAGTTCCATGACCCCCAAACTGAGCCTGAGAAGCTGTGACAGTTGGGACACTGTTAACTGCTTTTCAAAGTCAAGGAGACTGGGCTGTAGACGGCCTTGCAGTCCATGGCAAACAAGTCTAGTAGCCAGCACAGCAGGTATCACACCTGCTAATGGCATAAGCCTGGTTCTGTTTCTCAGGCCAGAGCAGGCTGGCACTCTGATTCTCTGACAGGAAGCCCAGTGCCCCTTCAGACAATGACCTATATTCAGAAGGTCAGGAAGTGTCAAGACTAGAGCATCTAGTTCCTAGGAAAACATCCTCCAGGGTGCACACAACAGCTCTGTAGAATGAGTCTGCTGAAGAAAGGGTTCAAGATGATCTCGGGGTGCAGATGAGTTTGGTGGGGTACTCAACTGGCATGCAGGAGTCTCTTGGATCACTTCTCACCATTGTTGAAACTGGGTGTAATGATGCATGCCTGTAAATCCTAGCACTCGGGTGATGGAGGCAGGAGGATCAGAAGTTTAAGGTCATCCTCTGCTGCAAAGGAAGTGTGAGGATAGCCAGTAATGCAGGGGACAGAGTCATAAAAGCAAATAAAATGATAACTGAAATAGTTCTGGAGTGAAGACACATTTTTGTTTCTCTTGTGCATGTGTGTGTTCAGGTACATGTGGGTGTATGCACGTGTGAGGATACACGTACATGTGGGTGGGCAGGTGTACATGCTTGTAGAGGGAAGAGGACAACCATGGGTGTTTACCTCAGGCCTCTTTCACTATTTATTTGAGACAAGTTCTTTCTTGACCTGGACCTTCATCATAAAGCCTAGGCCAGCTGGCCTGGGGGCTTCCAGGCATTCACCTGTGTGCCCCCCCCACACACACCACCAACCACCACTATCACTGAAATCTCACAGAGGAGACACCATGCCCAACTTTTTAACATGGATTCTGATAACTGACTTAGGTCTTTCTTGCAAAGCTAAGTGCTTTACCAACTGAAGCATCTCCCTAGCCTCCAATAAGGGATTCATTTTAGTGTTTTAAGACTTAACTTTTAACTATGCAGATGAGTGTGGGTATGTGATTGTTAGTGCAGGTCCTGAAGAGGCCAGAAGACGACATCAGATCACCTGAAGCTGGAGTTACAAGCTGAGTTTGGGTACTAGGAATCAAACTTAGTCTTGTGCAGGAGCCGTATATGCTTTAAATTCTGAGCCACCTCTCCATCCACAACCACTAATGTGTTTTTAAGCCAACCATTTGAGAAATCACCTCCCATTTTTGTATAGTCCTCAATTCTGATGTCTAAAGTGATGTAAATAAGCCTGTTTATTCCAACTGTGCTGATGAGGTGATCACACTGACACAAGCTTGTTAACCTTTTTCCAACTCCAGGAACCATGAAGGAAAGACCCATAAAATGTCTTTCAATTCCATAAGTGTCTGATGGTATATTAAGCAAAGGACTACAGAGTGCAGTTTAAGCCACAACTTAGTAAGGGCATGGAAATGTCCACTGAATCTGACAAATAGTAATTAACTTCATTAAAGTCTTCTTTTCTGGGTGTGAGTTGATATGCAGGCATTGCTACAGGCAGATGTGTGTTCCCTTCACCAAATGTGGTCCTGCTGGTCCATTGAGAACCTGTTCTTTGGTGCTTGACCCCCGCTTAGGTTAGATGTGAGATGGTGATAAGTTCATCCATGGTTAGAAAAACAAACTTTGAGCCAAAAACATCTGTCTATATATTGGACAAGGCTGTTAAAATGATTCTATCAGTTTGATTTAAAACATCTCCTAAAATCTGCTACACACACACACACACCTTTAAGGAGCTTCACCCCATGAAAGAATTGGGGCCTAAGGTTCAACGTAAGTGGTTAAGATATTATGAAGGTGGGTGTAGCAAATATTTAGAAACAAAGCCTTCAACTGAGGCTTAGAGAGAGGGGGTATATGTGAGCTCACAGTGTTGACAGAATGACCATCATGCTGGTCACATCAGTGTGGGAACACTTTTCATTTGCCAATACACATCTCATAGCATACTTCATACAGCAACCATAGGACTACCAAATTCAATTTGAAAAATGAGTCTGGAATTCATATTATAGCAGTCAATATTTGAACTGGAACTGAATCCTTAGTAACTACTATTTTCTTCATTTTTCATTTTCATGTTGAATTAACCTTAATGACCACACATATTTACGGAGTACATTATATGTGTGTGTGTGTGTGTGTGTGTGTGTGTGTGTGTGTGTGTACCTTTCAATGCTGTGTTCTAACTGAAGAATCTATTCCTGCTTTTTATTTGTACTTGGTACCCTTTAGACAGCCTCTATCTCTCTTCTTCTCTTCCCACTTCCTAGCCACTGGTGGCCACTATGCTATCACTTTTTAATATCCTTTTCAGCTTCTATATACTCTACACAGCAAGCGGTATTTGTGTCTGGCTTATTTCCCATAACTTAGCAACCTTAAGTTCTAATCATTTGGCTTCAAATATCAATTTCACTCTTTTTAAATTGTATTTATTTAATCTTTTGAGAGACAGAATCTCACTAAATAGCCTTGATTGGTCTGGAACTAACTATGTAGAACAGGCTAACTCAAACTCAAAGATATCCGCCTGCCTTTGTGTCCATAGTGTTGGGATCAAAGGTGTGTTATCACTACAGCTTGCCTTTCATTCTGTTTTGAAGTTTTTATTTTTTATTTTCATACAAACACACAGAGATTGTGTTCAACCCTTACCATTACCTTCTATTACTCACTTCCCTTTCTCTCAGAACCCCTTCTTTTCCTAGTAGCCTCCCAGGGCCATGCATGGCCTTTTCTGTTGGGACTAGTGATTCAAATTCAGATCCTCATGCTTGTACAGCAAGCTCTATTACTCACGGAGACATCTCCTCACTCCCTCTCCCCTTCTTCATGTTGTCTCTTCTGTCTGCTGTTTCCACTGTTCTGAGAATGTTTCTTAGTTGCCCAACCACTTAGGTCAATGGTTTTAACCTTCCTAATTCTGAGACCCGTTAATAGAGTTCCTCATGTTGTGGTGAGCCCCAACCATAAAATTATTTTCATTGCTACCTCATAACTAATTTTCCACTTTTATGAATCATAATGTAAATATTTTTGGAGATAGAGGATTGCCAAAGAGTCAAGACCCACAGGTGGGTAACTCCTGACATAGGAAGTAATAGGAAAAAAATTAACTCTTTTTATTTTAGGGAATTATAGCTCCCTATTGATGAGGAAAAAGGAAACTATATATATATATATATATAATATGCATTTTACACATTTTATTACTTAAAATGTCTCTGTCACCTCCTGTTCAGTGCCACTGGAGAAGACTCAGAATGTGTCAGTTCCCAGTCCCATGAAAATAGACAGGGATTAAACACCTCTACTTTCCCTAAAAGCATCTTAATTCACAACTTTGGGCTGTGGTCTCATGGCAATCTAAATTCTTTAAATTTTCCATGACACACACCTTTAAAAAAATAAAACAGAAACAAAACAAAAACATTCATTGCAATTGACATGTGATTCATCCTTATTTTGACCAAAGGAAGAAAGACAGAATGAAAAACAGCCACCACATTTAAACAAATGTGTTATCAGTCATTCTTGTATATTACAGCTGCTCTAGGAGCCATGGGGCAGAGGCATTTATACGGAAGATAAGCTCATTGTGTTGAACAAATTAATGTGGGATTGTGAATTAAATGGCATGTCTTTGGACAGCTAATTAGCTTTGTGCTGCTCAATTAAGTTCCAAAAGGACATGTTGTGTTTCTTGATGGAATACAGAATATACTTCAAGTCTATTGCTGCCTGGATAACTTCAGTTCCAAACTCCATGGAAATAAACAAGCAAAAAGCCAAGGATCTGCAGACTCCAAACACTGCCAAAGAGCCCAGTGTTCAAACCATGCACAGCAAAACATCACATTTTATTTTCAATCATATTTACTATTCTCCAGTCAATAAATATGAAACTGCATTTTCACTATACTGCTCACACTGTGAGTCAATATTTCATGTGTGTGTGTGTGTGTGTATGTGGTGTCTATTTGAACATGTGTGAGGGTTTGCATGTACATGTATGCACATGTTTATAGAAGTCAAAAGTCACTATGTGTCTTCCTCTACCATGCCCACCTTATTATAGTCTGTGTGTGTGTGTGTGTGTGTGTGTGTAGATGGAGGGTTCTGTCCATGAAGTCCTGCCACTCTTCAGCCCCAAATAAACACATGGATGCTATATTAATTATAAAACTGTTGGTCAATAGCTAGGGCTTCTTATTGGCTAGCTCTGTCTTAATTATTAACCCATTTCTATTAATATAAGTATTTCCACATGGTCTTATCTTACCAGAGAAGGGTCCAGACCTGTTACTCCTTCCTCCACTATATGACATCTCTTTGTGATGCCTCTCTGCCTCTCTCCCCAGCATTCTCCTTGTCTGCTAGCCCTGTCTATCTTCCTGCTTCTACTGTCCAATCAGTGTTTTATTCATAACCAGTAAGAGAAACATATATATGGAAGGGCATCCCCCATTATGTGTGTCTATAAGTCACATGCATGCAGGTATCCTCAAGGCCAGAAAAGTAGGTCAGATCTCTAGGAGTTGGATTTTTAGGCAGTGGTGAGACACCCATCCTTAGAATTGGGAACTGAACATGGCTCCTCTGCAAGAACAACAATCACTCCCAGCTGCTGAGACATCTCTCTAACCCTCCCCCATGCCACCATTTTTGAGACAAGATCGTTCACTAAACATGGAACTCACTGATTTGGTCATATTGACTGACTAACAAGCTCTATTTCCCCAAGGCCACATGTCTAGAAATGACTAATTTTGAGTTGTGTAGTGTGTGTAGTGTGTGTGTGTGTGATGACTAATTTTGAGTTGTGTGTGTGTGTGTGTGTGTGTGTGTGTATCTTTACTGTGGAGTATTTGTATTTCTGTGGCAGGCCCTTATCTTTAGCCAGAGGCATCCATCAAACTTGGAAGTTTAGACAAGTCAACAAACCAATCAGGGCACCGTTTCCTGGTTGAGACTCAGAAGAGACTTCTCTTTGCCCTTCCAATCATGTGCTATGATTGGTTGCTTCATTCATATAAAAGATCAGTCTCCCGAAGGAAGCACAATTGTAAAGAATAAAACATTCCTCTTATAAGAAACCGCAAAAGTACCATCATTGCCCTCCTGTCATTGCCTTTCCTTCTTTCTACTATAATTCATGAAAATGATTTAAACTTGGAACTTCACTGAATACTGCAAGATCCGGTCTGCAATTAGTTTGGTGTTTAAGGGTTCCTTCATCAAAGTAAATCATAACTCTTTGGAAGCAAAGTTAAACCTTGAGGGAAAAATATGAATCTGCAAGCTTCCATTTTGAAAATAATTGATTTATAAGAGAAAGGAATTTCAGTATAATTTCCCAGGTAGAAAACACCCTAAATAATCTTGAAGAAAAGGGCAAAAGAAGCCGCTGTGAAACTCAAGTTGTCAACACTCCATATGAATCACTATCACTGCCAAGTACCAGGAAAAATTTGGGGTGCTCACACATATCAGCTCATGCCTTGGAAA